CCTGCAGGGCCTCAGGATCCTGGCTGGGGGCTGGCTCCGCTCCGTAAACCTGCAGGAACCAAGAAGAGAAGGGGTCAATTTTCATCAGGCTCTTTACCCCACTTCCCGCAAGAGAGGCAACAACCTGACCACAGCTTCAAAAAACATCTGCTCCTCAAGTCTGGGAGCCAAGGGGATCATGATCTTGTTCCACACACAGGGCCAACGTCTCCTCATCCCAGCACCAGTCCTGGTACCCAGCAGGACCCACAGTATCCCCCATCCCCTTTATGGAACCGAACTTACAGAGCAGGAAGCGACGCAGGTTCTGCGCAGATCCCCCCGACACTAGGTAAGCCCAGGCAGCGGCAGCAGCCATCAGCAGGTAGGAGGGCACAAGGCTGCCCACGTATAGGGGGTTGCAGAACGACTGGGGAGAGAGGTGGGAGAAGACGTGAGAGCAGGCAGGAGAGGACAGGGACAGGATGGATGGCAGTGTCACCACACCAACAAGTAGAGTGGGACAGGGGACACTGACTCCACAATTTGGTCTGTGAAGGGCCAGCTGCTTCACTAGTGCCAAAGGCTGGTTCCATCAACACAGGGACCAGTATCCCAAATACAGCTCCCAGTGCGGAGCTCTGCTCCCAGTTACTCACCGACCCTGAAACAGCAAGGTGCATGACAACGACCGCCATTATCTCCCACCAGCGCTGATGCTCACAGCCGTGGAAGAAGAGGATCCCCCAGAAGGTGTGAAGGAAAATCAGCACCATGGTCATAAAAGCTGCAAGGAGCAGCAGAGAGGTGTCACTAGAGAATCACCCACCATCACCTGGCCTGCAAGCTCAGGGAAGGGATGGAGAGGAGTAAGCAAAGGCAACTAGAGACACTGCAGGGCCAGACTGGGAGGTGCTGGGGCAGGCCCTGAGCATGAGAGAGATGGGAGAGAAGAGCAGGGAGTGTCACAGGGAACAGGAAGAAGAGTTTGGCACAGATAGATGCAAGAGGGGCTGAGGTGCAGGAGGATGCAGCATGCAGTGGACAGCATAGAAGGAAAACTCCATCCTCTGGGATCTGCTGCCTCTGTGGCTGGGCAGAGACTTGAGCAAAGGGTGCCAGTCACTCACCTGAGGTCAGGAAGTACAGCTGTGAATCCCCATGGATGCCCACAGTGCCAGGCCCTAATGCATCAGCCAGCAGATTGATCATGGAGAAGGCGCCACTCATGAGACCAAAGCCCACGCCAGCCACTGCCAGGATAGGGACACTGTCAAGCCCTGACCCTCCCAGGGGCCACCCCAGGCACCTCCCAGCCAGTTCTGGCACGGAAAACCTCCCTTTGCTCCCAGCACTCCCTGTCTGGGCTTGTTCCCAGCCCCACAGTTTGGGTGCTCCACTCCACACAGCACTCACCATATGCCATTTGCTGGATGGAAATGGGGGAGCAGCCGTCCTCACTGAGGGCCACCAGCCCCTCGATGGCCTTCCTGTGGGGTGAGAGTACACTGGAGCCCAGCACAGACACCTCCCAAGGCATGGTGCAGCACTCACTCTGCACCATGCCA